AGTTTTTGTTGATTTGCACATGTAGTTGTGATCGCTGTCAATAAAAATATAATCAAGCCTTGTGGTCATCATGTTTCCACCTCTTGTATGTTGGTTAAACGTGATGAAAGGTTTTTCTTCTGAAAAAATAGCTGTATCTATAAAGTCTATTAGTTTTGATTTAACCAATACTCTCGATGGGTCATATTGTGGAGTTGCTTGACTAATGCGGTTGACTTCTGGATCCAAATTAGTATTGAAGTCTCCTGCTATGATGTTTATATATCCTTCTCGGTATATTGGTGACCAGTTTGTGAAGAATGTAGTTTTATTGTTTATGCTCGGAGGAGCATAGACATTTGTTATCCAGAAGGCTTGATTTCTAATTTCTGTTTGTGTTGAGATTACTCGGCCTTCATGTGAACTTCTGTTATTTTTTAGTTTAATATTTCTTCTCCCTGCTAAAATAGCTGTTCTTTCAGATCAGTATGAGTCGTAGCCCCATTGTTGTACTAGGAAATCTCTAGTCGATTTGTCTTTAAGATTTGTTTCTTGTATTAAAATTAAGTCTAAGTAATAGGATTTTAAGAGTGTTAATGTGTTTTGAGCTTTAGATCTATTATTTAGACCCTTTACATTAAGTGTAGCGATTTTAATTATGTTTGTTGATATAAGTTATTAGTTGGCTACACTTGTTGAATCTCTGTAAGTTAGATTTGGCTTTAAGAGAAGCTCTGAGTAGAGCTTTTCTCTGATCGTTCTGAAGAGGAGTTGCCAGTTTTTGGGCTATTCTTCTTTTTACGTTTCTTAGAGGTTACAATATTGAAGATAACCTCTTCCATGTTGTTATCTTTTTCTGAGTCTGAGTTCTCAACTATTTTTTTGTGAGGCCAGATTCGTCAGTTTCTTTTGTCTTAGTTTCTGTGATAGCTTCTGTAGAGGTTTTTGTTGAGTTGTCTTCATTTGAAGAGCTTATGTTTTGGCTGCTGGTTTCTGCAATTTTAGTAGAGGATGTTTCTGCAGATTCAGAAGAAATTTGCATCTCATTGTTGTATGAGTTCTCTGGGCTAAAATTGTCTTGGTGGTTATTCTCTTCAGCAATTTTTTGTTTTTCTCTTTGGAGCTTGAGATCTTTCTGAATCTTTCTGAATTCAATTGAGGCTTTTAGTTCATCACATTCTTTTTTAATGTGGCCTTCTTTCTCACAGTAAAAACAGACTTTTGGTGCATCCCTCCATTCTGTCATAACTTTGTGGTAGTCTAAGTGAGTAGTTCTAGGTATTCTCTGAGCTACATCAGGATTGTCTGTAGTTTCGAAGGTGACTAGCCATTGATCTGATAAAACAGTAGTACCTTCGAAGAATAGAGGTTTGATTGAGGCAATTGTTCCAAAGTCTTGGAATGCTTCTAAGATAAGGTTATTAATATATTTGGCATTGCCTAGTGGTGTATTTTTGAGTTTTATTGTTAGGAAGGTTCGTCTTAGGTTAATTGGTAGAAAGCCAAAGAGAGTTTGTTTAAAGAGACAGATTCCTTCTGTGATATAAGTTTGTAGACTGGATTTGTTTTAGAAGATTACTTCAAGGAAGGAACGTTTGCCTCTAGAGAAATGAAATTTTGCTGCCATTAAGTCTTTCTCTAGTTTAGCTGCGAGAGCTGCTACAATATTATTTGATGCAATGTTACTCATATTTTATATGTTCAAAATGAGAGCATTTTCATTTTTTGAGTGGATCTTTGGTTTGGGGAGAGAGCTAGTAAAAGTAGCTTTTCCACCTTTGAATTTTGAAAATAATTCAGACCATTTTTTTGTTTGTGGCTTATCTTGCGATTTTTCTTGTATAGGATTTATTGTTAGGCTAGGAGTTGATTGGTTCACAAGTTGGTTTGTTACGTTTAGTTGATCTTCAGTATTCACGTGA